CACACAAAAGAAGAAATGAGAAAAGCAAGCTTCATAAACATCTTTGTATGTTAAGGTTTACCCACAACAGACAACATGAAATTGTATTACAACATTGCTTTACTGGTGATCATATCAGAACTATTAGACTTGTATAAGAAATGAATATTTGTAAAAATATATAACGTATATTATATGCAAATGAAATTCAGATATTAAAGAATTTTCCTCTACATTTTACATTACAATGGAATCAACATGTATCAAAATATGTTGAACTTGTCAGAAATTTTGATATTTAGAAATAGATAAGAAGATAGAATTCTAAAATAAACATTCTAAAATCTAATATTTTTATGATTAGCAATGTTGGATTCATCACACAATTCAAGATCCTCAGAAAACAAAATGCTCCCTAGAAAAGAAAATGTAAAAGTTATATTGTTGTTTCCCCTTAATATATACAAAATAAAATCAGTAGCATCCAAACTAAATGCCTATCACTAAAGGAGGCTTTTCCACCAAACATAAATGTGGAAAGTATACGGTACTTTTACTGAAAGTAACTAATGTGGTATTCAGGTGGAACTACTTTGAAATTCACATCTTTAGGAAAATAAATAATATTAACAGATCTTAAAATAATGTATAATTTCATCAGTTCAGCTATTCCATAAAAATGAAAAGTGGTGATGCCTAGAAATATTTGTTTCTTGAAACAGTAGCATGGGGGCTGGGGATTTAGCTCAGCGGCAAAAGCGCCTGCCCGGCAAGCGCAAGGTCATGAGTTCGGTTCCCAGTACCGGAGAAAAAAACCAAAAAAAGAAAGAAACAGTAGCATGGTACAACAGTAGTATAAATATAAAAACAAGGAAAAACAAAAATTTTTTTTGTAATTTTTTCATAAAAAGAACTTTATTGAAAAAGCATGATACTATCGAAGAGCTTTTAGATAAGTTTCTCTTCCTTGTTGGTTAGACACACATATGTTCCCAAACAGTTCCACTGTGAATTTTTCACCTCAGTTTTGTTCCTATGATCAATCTAATTATATGAATTAAATTTACAAATTGTGTTCATCTTGTAAACTAAAAATTAAGCTCTGTAACCTACAAGCATCTGCCAACACAGAACCTCACACTCCCCACAAACTGCCATAAGATATCTGTGACTGATAGGTTTGCGGGAGGTGATTACTGAGTCAAACATCTGTTACAATTCACCTGTGACAAAGGTGGGAATCAGTGACGTCGTCACCTTAATGTGAGAAAACCACGTATGGGGGGGCAAACATTTTATGTGATGAACCTTGTTTTTGCTAAATGCTTGGTTTAATCTCTCTCCTGTCCTGTTGTAGTGTCTCTTATCTCTTCTGGGTACCAAGCCCTTGTGTTTCATGGCCAGATAAAGATCACAGAACTAGTTGAAGAAAGAGGTAGGACTTTAACACGTCTTCCCACTACCCCAAGTAGGCAAATATTTAGAGTCAAGTAAGACTTTGCTTTGTATGGGGAATACAATGATATTGGGTCATTCAGGGCCCCTTATGTCACAGAACTCAGACTACCATATTCTTCAGTGATTGGGTTGGAGTCAGCCAGGTCATTGACTACTGTTTCCAACAAAGGTCAACCTTCCATCCCTTCAATGTGGAAGTATATTACCTTCTGCAGGAAGGGATGAACTGCTCTGCATAAACTGCTTTCCATCCACACATGAACTGCCTGAATCTAGAAAATATTTAGGAAAGAATAAGTGAAGTTAATTTTTAATACTCAAATAGAGCAGAAGTCACTGGTTCTCCCCAGTCTTAATCAACGAGACCATGAGTTAACTAAAATTAACAAAAACCATTGCACAAAAAACTAAAAGTTATGCCATGCAGGGATAAAAGTATGTTAACATCTTGAAAACTAAATTCATAAAGTATTAATCGATTAGTTCTCACTTATGAGACATCTAATTTTGTCAACAAAGTAAACTTGTCTCTCTTCCTGCATCCAATGCCCTTCCCCAGCCAGGAGTATCTGTTGAGGGTGGGCATCGCCTGTGAGCTGGTCTGACTGAACTCCTTCCTCCATTTTCCTCACCCTAATTAAAGTTGTTTGGAGCAAGGGTGAGCATTTCATCGAGCTGAGCAAAATACTGCCTTTTCTCAAAGTGTTAGGATCAGAACAGAGAAGAATGCGTGCATCTCTCTTCCTTCTTTTCATACTTAGGAAAAGAAAAAATAGCCCAATCCAAAGGACAGAGATGAAAGTCCTTACCTACTCAAGTTTCTAGTTCCATAGTTCCTGAGACCCATATGCATTCCTTCCCTCGAGTTATACAGGATTTCTTGTAATCAGGGTATCCCCAATCACCTTTAAACTTGGTTTCTAAAAAATAGCTATATTTCAGCATTTTTTTAAACCAGTGACACAATGAATAGAAAGGATTAGAATTATTCTGTTATTACAAGGTACTCACACTACCCATGAAATATACTTTTATTTGAAGGTGGAGTTGGACTAGTTGTATTATGTGTTACAAAAGCATGAAAATAAAAAAGGAAGTGTTACTGATATGCTAAACAAAAGAAAATAAAATGAAACTATATAAAAATGTTCTGTTATAATCATAAAATGTTGCACAGTGGTGTATTATCCAGCCATAAAAAATAAAATCCTGTGACTCCCAAGAAGTTGGATGGAACTGGAGAACATCATCTTAAGGAAAATAAGCCAGACACAGAAAGACAAATACTGCTTGTACTCTCATATGGGAGGGAAAATCTGACCTGAAAGTAGAAATGGGACTATTAATGCTGGAGGGAACAGAGCTAGAGGGACTACAGTGGAAGAAGCATGGATGGATATGATCAGTGCTTGAGGTCCACATATATGGAAATATTACAGTGAACCCTGATATTCTGTATCATTAATGCATCTCAATAATTATAAGAATAAAACTAAAAATAAAACCATGAAAAGCAGAAAAGAATGGAAGACAAATGAACAAAAACATGAGCAACAAGCAGAAAACGGTAGTATGTACAGCAGCTTTCAATCCAAATATACAAGTAATTACTCTGAACATCAAATGCACCAATTTATCAGGTTATTGGGATGGAACAAAAAGCAAGATCTGCCTATATGGTGTCTATTATGTCACCATACGTATAAGGACAAATAGAATGATTCACGACGAAAAGTAGAGAGTTCAGCACTTCTCTATCAGAAACGGGCACAGAATGCATAAAATTAGATAAGATTTAGCTGAACTCAACAAAATCATCAATGAAATAGATGTAATTAACATCTATAGACTACTTCTCCCAACAATAGTAGACTACACATTCCTGTTAATTTTATATAGCAATATACAAAAATAAAACCGGAGTAATTATGTTACTTTTGGATAGAGGAGAGTTCACCAGGGTAGTTGCTTTTTTTATCTCTTATAACATTCCTTGCTCTCTTCTCTGCCCAAAATAAACCACATACGAAACACATCTTAACAATCACACAGTGCTTGCTTTCAGACCACATGGAGTTAAATTAGAAATCAGTTACAAAAAGGTAGCTGGAAAATCCCAAAATTCTTAGAGATAATACCACACACATCTAAATAATGCATGTGGAAAATAAGAAATCTTAAAAACTCTGAACTAAATGAAAATATAATTCAAATTTTGTGATAAGTAAAAAAGTACTACTTACAGGGAAATCTAAAGCATTGAATGTATATTTCAGAGAAGAAGAAAGATTTAAATTCAATCCTTAAAACTCCAGTTTAGAACACAATAAGTAGAAGAGCAAATTAAACTCAAAGAAGTAGAAAATGAATAATAAAATTAAAACAGATATCAATGAAATTGAATTAAAGAAAAATCAATAAAGAAGATCAACAAAATCTAAACTAGCTCTGTAAAAGAAAAAGCTAATAGATTACTAGCCAGATTAGTTAAGAAAAAGAGAGACCGTGCAATTGTGAAACAAAATCAGGAATATCTCTAAAGATTCCTTGGACATTAAAAGGTTACAAGGAAGACTGTGAATAACTCCATGTCCACAGATTTTATAACCCAGGTGAAACACATCAACTCCTTGAAAGATATAATCTGCCAGACCTCACACAGAAGAAATTGGTAATCTGAATCGGTCTATACTTATTGAAGAAATTCAATGAATAATTAAGGATCTTCCAAAAGAAAAAACAACAAACCCAGATGCATTCATTGGTGAATTCTGCCAAACTACCGAGGAATAAATTATACTAATTCTTTACAATCTTTCAGAAGATATAGGCAGTGGGTGTACTTCTTAATTCATCCTGAGAAATGGGGATTACCTTAACATAAAAACCAAAGACATTACAAGAAAAAAACTATAAACAGATACTTCTCATGACACACATTTAAAAATCCTCTACAAAATACTACCAGAAATCAAATCACAGATGTAAAAAGCATTATACTCCACAACCAATGGGATTAATCCCAGGTACACAGGGCTGGTTCAACACTCAAAATTCAATCAGTGTAATCTGTCACATCAACAGACTAAAGGAGAAAATAATATGATTATTAACACAGGCAAAAGATGCATTTGGCTAAATCCAGCACTCTCATAATATTTTTTAAAGTTTTCATAAATTGAAAATGGAAGTGGATTTTCTCATCTTGATAATCTATTAAAAAAAAACCCTATAGCTTATATCACAATTAGTAGTGAGACACTAAAGTTTCTCTCTAAGACCCAAAACACGGTAAAGAAGACAAGTTTTGTCACTGTTTCTCAACTTGAAGCTCCAACAACGCTATTAGACAAGAAAAGAAAGCAAAAGAGACAAAATTTATTTGTTCAGGAATGACACTAGCTGTGCATAGCGGTACACATCTGTAATCCCAGCACTCTGGGAGTCTGAGGTAGGAGGATCACAAGTTTCACACAGCTGGACAACTTTTGTGATGTTCCAAGACCCTGTCTCAAAATAAAAAAGTGGAGGGGCTGAGAATGTCACTCAATGTGAAGGCCCTGGGTTCAACACCCAGTATGTGGGTGGGGAGGCAAGGGATGGGACAAAACAGCAATCACATCCCTTGGTATTTAACCAAAGGAGGTGAAAATTTATATCCACACCAAAACCTGTACACAAATAATAACTTAACTCATAATCATCAAAAGTTGGAAGCAGTGAAATGTGTTTTAGTAGGTGAGTGGGTAAATGAACTGTGGTACATTTAGAAAATGGAATATTACTCAATGCTTAAAAAGAAATGAGCTATCAAGCCATGAAAAGACAAAGAGGAAATATAAAGCCATATTAGTAAATCAAAAAACCAACCTGGAAAGGCTGTATACTGTATCATTCCTACTGCATGACATTCTGTAAAAAGCAAGACTATCAAAACAGTTAAGATCAGGACTTTTAGAGGATAGAGGAGAAGAAAGGTTAACAGCTAAAGCAAAGAAGATTTAGAGGACAGTGAAACTATTCCCTATGATACTGTAATAGTACATACATGTCATTAAACATTTGTCTAAACCCCTAGAATATATAACACTAATAGTGAACTCTAGTTCAAACTATAGACTTAAAGTGGTGATGATGTGTCAAATGTGTAGATTCCACAACTGTGATAAACGTACCATTCTAGTGGAAGACGCGAATAAAGAGGGATCTTTTCCACGTGCAGGAGCAGAGGGTATGTGGGAATTCTCTGCACATTCCACCAGGAATCTAAAACTTTTCTTAAGAAGTGTCTGTTAATTTTCTACTTCAAAGTTCACAATAATGGCAAACAAAATTTTGGAGACAATAGGAGAATACAGAAAATAAATCACTCATACCTATTAAAGCTGGGTTATTTAAAAGTATACTGGGATAATAATCGATGTTTAAAAAATTGAAAAACTTTTGTTATGCTGAAATAGGTACTAAATAACCACAAAAATAGCTTCAGAATAAAAAACTTACACTTCAAAACATAAAGAATACCATTTAGATAATAGTCTATGAATACATATAAGGCAATGTAAGATCCTAAAACACAAAAACTATATAAATATCAAGCACTGTCCTTTTAAAACCATCACTAAGGACAAGCATTACAGAAAGTGCCACTGTCTTTGCTGGTTTGCTGCATCATTGAGTTACTTAGTAAAACAAGACTCTCCACTTCTGAACTTTAGCATTCTGAAAAGAGGAATGAGGTGGGGAGAGAATTTCTGAATGCACTAGTGAATCTAACTCTTAACACAAGCTTTTTCTCACATTTCTCAGGCCATATTTGGATTGCAGTTACTAATGAACATACAAATTGTGACAGTCAAGCAAAAAAATCAGCAAAAGCATTGCTTCAGTATGAATTTTTAACCTGCCTTTCCTGGCATTGGCATTGGCATTCTCCTGCTTTAGCTCTAAGGTGCCCCTTCAGGGTCTCTCATTTTATATTTAAAACATGATATTTCTTCTTCCGGGCTTACATGTATTCAGTATATATCAAAGTGTAGAAAAGAAAATTTTTATCCCAGGTCTGATTCCCAAGGATCCCAGAAGAACTCAACAGCTGCATTCATCTGCTACCACTGTTAAAAGCCAGGC